ACATCTGATAAGCTTAACTAGTGTCTCTCTGTAGCCCCAGCTGGCCTGGAACTCACTGTGTAGACCAGGCTGGCCTCCATATCAGAGATCCACCTGTGCTGAGATTAAAGGCGTGGACCACCATACCTGGCCTGAAATTTCTCCCTTTAAAAAGGTTATTATAGCACAAAAAACTTAGAGAAACAACAGCATAAACTCATCCTTATGTTTAAAATTGTAAAGGAGGGCCTGAGATGGCTCAGTGGTAATCACTTGCTGCCAAGCCTCATGACCTGAGTTTGATCCTGGGAACTCACATAGTAGAAAGAGAGAGCTGGTTAAAGTTATTCTCTGACCTTCATGGACGTGCTATGGTAATACATGCACACAATAAATAAATGTCAATTTTTTTAAAGGATTAAAATGGAAAAGAAATACTACTGTGGAAAAGGCAAAGCTATTGAGACAGAATAATTCAGGAAGTGCAAATCCAAGCTGCAGTAAAAGACTACCTCACATCATTAAGATGGCTACTATAAAACAAACAAAAACAGCCAGAAATTTACATGCTAGGATGTGGAGAAACAGGGTCTCTTTGCTAGGTCTGTTGCTAGGGATGTAACAATGATACAGATGCTGCTGAAGACATTATGGTGGTTCCTCCAAAGACAGTTCCACTTCTGTGTATATAGCCCAAAGAACTTAAAACAGGGACTCAAAATAAGCAAGTCACATACGACAAATACGGTAGGATTCTATTTCAATGAGGCACTACAGCAGCTGGAGTCATAGAGGGAGTGTGGGATGGTGGTTGCCAGGTGCTGCAAAAAGTGGGATGAGGGTTTGATGTGTACTTTTAGTTTTACAAAATGAAATTACAGAGATGAATAGAATGGTGGTAACCCAACATATGAACATATCCAATACCATTCAACTACACACTTAAAATGGCTGACACATTTTATGTATGTTTTGCCTGTATGTAAGTGCACCCATGTCATGCAATGCCTGAGGAGCCCAGAAGAGGGCATCAGATGCCCTGGAACTGGAGTTACAGTTGTTAGCCATCATGTGGGTGCTGGGAACCAAACACAGTCTTCTTCAAGGGCAGCCAGTGCTTTAAACCCCTGAGTGGTCTCTCAAGCTCCAACTTTTTAAAAATAATAATAAAAAACTAAAAACAAACAAATCAAAAAAACTAGAAAGAGCAAAACAATCACTGTGGAAAAGGTAAAACTACTGAGCCACAATGATTTGGGAAATGCGATTCCAAGCCACAATAAAATACTACTTCATACCGTTAGGATGGCAAGAGGTTAAGGCAAAATAAGATGAATTATAGCACAGAGTTTTGTTTCTTCACAGTGGGTTCTTACCACATAACACAAGTTGGCTTTGAACTTGTGATCCCTGTCTTACCCTTCCAAGTTCAGGGATTATAGGCATGTGCTACTACACAAGGCTACAGCACTGACTTTAAGGTAAATGACACCATTCTGCATGATACCAGACAGTTGTGGTCACATGACATTTATACAATACCAAGAATGAACCTTAATTGAATCATCAGGGACTTCGGGAAGTGGCATGAATGTAAACTGTCACAAAGGCCACAGAGGTGAGGGAGCTGTGCATGTACAGGAGCAGAGGGCATGTATGCACTGTACTAGCTGTCCAATTTTGCTAACATAAAACCATAAAACTGTTCTTTAAAAAGGCTACAAAAGGGGCTACAGATTTAGCTCAGTGGTAGAGCACTTACCTAAAGCACAAGGCTCTGGGTTAGTCCTCAGTTCTGGGAAAGGGAAAAAAAGACAAAATTACCAAAAACCAAAAAATTTGCGAGAGAAAGAAGGCTAAGATGCCATACTAGTTTTACAAAATATCCTAACTTCTTTTAAGTTCAGATCATATACTATAGTTATTTTCTGTTGTATAAATTTGCTCAGTCAGAACTACCTATGAACTGACTTGTATAAATCTCACCCACTTTTTCATTTTGTGTACCCAAGGTCAAATAATGAAAGTGATTAGTCCTTCCACCCTAACTGGTTAATAATAATTCATACTATTTTTACTTTTATGCCCATGGATGAGTTCAAACTATGCTTTTTTTTAATACTTTGTGATTTGTATTTTATGTCTATGAGTGGATTGCCTGCATGTATGCGAGTGCACCCGTGTTGTACAATGCCGCGGAAGTCAGAAGAGGGCTTCGGATTCCCCTGGAATTGGAGTTAAGGACGGTTCAGAGACACCATGTGGGTGCTGGGAATCGAACCCGGGTCCTCTGCAAGAGCAATCAGTGCTCTTAACCGCTGAGCCATCTCCCTAGTCCCTATTTCTGTTATTTTTAATTATGTATACTTGTATGTGTCTTTGTGTCCCTAAGTGTACTTGAGTGTAGGTGCCTGTGAAGGCCAAGAAGCATTGGATCCTCTGGAGCTGGAGCTAAAGGGCTTCAGATTCCCCTGGAACTGGAAAGGACGGTTCATAGCTGCCATGTGGGTGCTGGGAATCAAACCCAGGTCCTCTGCAAGAGCAGTCAGTGCTCTTAATTGCTGAGCCACCTCTCCAGCCCCAAACTATCCTAATTCTATTAAAAGTTTATTTTTAAAGAACCTTATTTAAAATGAAAATCCAAATAAGTGTTGAAAATTCTTAAGAACAAAAGATTTCTGGCCAGAAGAGGTTGGCAGATGCCTATAATCCCAGCACTCAGAACACAGAAATAGGAAGTTCACAAGTTCAAGGTCAGCCTGGGTGACACTATCTCAAAACACAGAAAATGAAACAAAATGTTTTTCTATTTTGTTTTGGCAGATAATCCTTCTTCCTGCATGCTTGTAGAAGTCAACTGCTCAATGCTGAATCTTCACTTAGAATGGGTTCTGCTGTGGTTAAAAACATAGCTAAACCACCCAAATCTCTAGTCTAGCACAATACAAGTTTATTTTTTGATCTTATCAAGTCCACTGTGGATCCATATGACCTCCCTGTGGCCACTAGGCAAGCAAGGACATTTTGATCTTGTCACTCTATTATTTCAAGCAAGCTTCTTCCACAATGCCATGAATCACCACTTACCTAGTCTGGGAGTGACAACTACTTCTACCCACACTCAACTGATTGGAGACAGTCAATGCTGACCTATAAGAAGACTGAGAAGCATGGTTTTCTTCATGCTAGGAAGGACAGCAGAAGAGATACTGGTAAACACTAACATCACCAAAAGTCTATCTGCAAGAGATCCAGGCTGTCTACCAACTCTTAACTCAGTAAAAATATTTCTGCTAAGGATGAAATTAAATCTCATCTGATAGTCTAACATTTGTGGCATGAGTTTTGGAGAAGCTACTCACCAAAACTGTTAACATGCTAATAATCAAACCAGTTATTTTTAAAATATATTTTATTTATTAGGATGTGTATGAGTGTTATGTCTGCATGTAGGTAACTGCACACGTGCAGTGCAATGCCTGCAAATGTCAGAAGAGGCTGTCGGATCCCCTGGAACTGGAGTTATGGACAGTTGCTAGCTGCCATGTGGGTGCTGGGATTCAAAACCAGGTCTTTTGCAAGAAGTCAGTGTTCTTAACTGCTGAGCCATCTCTCCAGCCCCAAACCAGTTATTTCAAACATCCTAACGTCAGTGAGCCTGACAAGTGACAGGTGAGTGATAATGGTAGATCTTCAACTCTTAAATTGCTATAGCTAGGTGGTGGTGGTGTAAGTTAAAATAAAAACAATGTACCTTACGTACTAGGATAGCATAACTATCATTAAGGGTGAGTTTACAATCTGCATTCATATCTGATGTCGGCAGAGATAGGGCAATAGCAGTAGGTAGACTCAGTTCTGTCAGAAAAGATCTTCAGGTCTTCCCTAAATACTCAGGAACTTGCTGAGCCCCCAAAATACTGCATGTGCAGTATTTTAGCCTCGAAAAAAACTTCTCAAAGTTCTTAGCTAACTTTTCACCCACAAATAAAGAGAATTTAAGAAAAAGGAAAAATGTCTGTAGGTCACAAGTAGGAAAACCTTAATTTCTTACCTCACTTTACTCTAGCCAAAGATTAATTAATACTCTGAATATGATAAAAACTGACCATTTAGGTGTGGAGAAATGCTCAGCAAGTTATGACTTCTGACTTCCATATAATTGAAATTGAAACAAAAGTGATTCCAACCTGCATAATTTTTAAGATTGTCTCTAGGGCTGGGGTGTTTGCGGTTCAGTCGTAGAATGTTGTCTAGAATGTTAATGGCCCTGGGCTTGAGCCCCAGCAGCTCAAACAAAACCAAACCTATTTTTAGCCCCAAATGCAAAATTGTACTACCATAAGAGCATAGAAAATGTCTCAGGTGCACATTCAATTATAATATGATTTTTTTATTTTAAAAAAAAGCAGTAAGAGTATGCACCAAGAATAATTTAACAGTTTTGACAACAATTCACTACCCAAATAAAGGAGTGGATGGAGCAAGATAATGTATAATACAATAAAACCTGTGCTAAATTCAAGATTTATCTGGAAAAATTAACAAACAAACATATAAAAAGATAGGACAGTTCATTTTTAATCAGTCAAAAATGAAAAGAGGTCTGGACAATGTCAATTTTACTCACCATAATGCTATAGTTATACATTAAATATAATTACTATCTATACATATGCAAAAATATAAAGCTCTATTTCATACAACAAAACCCTTTATAGAAACCAATTTAAAATTAAGTAGAACTTCTCGACATTAACATGTGAGGTTTAAGTACTTCCAAAGTTTCTTTTAAAGGTTTTTAAAATAAAACACTAACCCTAAAACCACTGTCCTTTCTGTTAGTTCCAAAATCAAATCTACTTAGTACAAAACAAAAACTGATAGGTTCGTAACGTACTACTTAAATAATATTGTTCAGACATGCCTAAAATCTTCCATTTTTCAAGTATGGAAACAGAATTCAAATACTCTATAACACAGTACTAACAGATGGAATATTCAGGAAAGACTGTGTGGTCATGTGCACAGTACCAATGCTTTATTTCTTCAATACGCCTTGAAATAAATATCAAGTTTTTGTTTTGTTTTTCTTCTAGAAGGCCCAAAATTATAGCCTACATTAAGATTATTTTGATTGTGGTGAGACTTAAGAGTGTAAAATACAACATTAAGATTTTATCACAAAAGTAAAGCTGGTAACAAATTATAAAAGGATCTCTTGCTCTTGGACACCTGCAGGATCTAAAGCTCATCATGATAGAAATAGTCATCATGGAGCTGTCGGCCGTAATCCGTGGCTTCACTGGTCAGAAATAAGTCCTGGTTTTCCAGAATCTCTTCTTCAGAGAGCTTTTTGTCACCATTCAAATCCATCTCATCAATTAGATGAAGAGCCTTTAAGATAAACCAAAAGAAAATCATGTCCACATTAACTATTTTTAGTAAGATGCTCACATTTTAGTGTGATTTGATTTGTCAAAGCCATTTGGGTATGCCAGGAACTCATCAATATCTAAGTCCCTAAAACTACTACATACTGCAATTGTGTCTGCATATTGCATCTCTCATTTACTCCCTTATTCATTTATGCTGGGTTCTGCATTACTACGTAAGTCCTGGATAGGTATCTCAAAACTAAGTAAAATTATTATAATCCACTTTGAACCTCCAAAGGTACAATCCAAACTGTTATTCTATTTACTCTGTCCTAAGATTAGCACATGATACAATCTTAACTTTCTCATCTCCCTGAGAATAAATAAAGATGTCAACATTTATTTCAAATCACAACAAAGCATCCATTCTAACTAATTCCATTACTGATTTCTTTAAGATTTCCAACTTCCTAGCCAGGAATGGTGGGGCATGCTTTTAATCCCAGCTCTAGGGAGGCAGAGCCAGGCCAGCTGGGGCTACAGGGAGACCCTGTCTTAAAAAGACCAAAAAAAAAAAAAAAAAAATCCAACTTCCTGTCCTATCAGTGGCATCAAGTGTATGTCAGAGGGGCAAGACAGTCATTCTGCAACACTTACCTCCTCCTGTGCAATGCCCTGATTATTGGGCACGACCCATGATAACAGCTCTTGGGGATCCAGCCTGCCATCGTTATCCTTGTCATAATCATTCACGAATCTGTCCTTCTCAACAAGTATCCATTCTGGATCTTCATTTGCAGCTTAAGATAAAAAACACAAACATACAATAAGAAGTTTGGTATAGCCCTAGAATAAAGGAAGTGAATTTAAAATTTACTACATAAAGGAAGCGCAATGAAACAGAACTACTTAAAAATCTTGGAAATACATACAAATATGTGGAAATTTTCAAGAGTGACACATAAGTTAAAAGAACCCACTCTTAAAATAGTTGTGTATTTCAGGAGTTAGTGTTTTGTTAAGTGTTGCTATTTATTCTGATTTCTAGTTTTCCTAAATTTGATCCACAACACCTAGCCTTATTTTTTATTAAAAAAAAAAAAATTGAGACTGGGTCTATAGTCCAGGCCAGCCTCAAACTCCCTATGTAGCCGAGGATGACTCTGAACTTCTGATTCTTCTGCCTCCATTTCCTAAGTGCTAGGATTATAGGCATGTGCCACAATGCTCAGTTCATACAGTGCTAAGAACAGAAGCCAGGGCCTTGTGTATGCTAGGCAAACATGCTACAAACTGAGTTATATCCCCGGTCTTAGGGTAATGTTTTTATGTCACCATGTGACTATCTACTCTCCTACAGGTATACAGCAATTCCTCCTGTAAATTTAAAGTGACATTCACAATAATAAACCTGGTAATCAACTTTAAAATTCCATCTTTTTTGAAACTTCTAAACACAGGACCCAGATTCAGTTCCCAGAACCCACATGGTGCTCATAATCATCCATAACTCCAGTTCCAGGGAATCTGACACCTTCTTCTGGTCTCCAGGGGCACTGTTTACATGTACATACATGCAGGCAAAACAAACACACACACACACACACACACACACACACGTACGTACATGCAGGCAAAACAAACAAACACACACACACACACACATACACACACACACACACACACACACACAATCTTCCTTCCCTTTTTGAATTGACAATGATATATTTGCTAGGAAAGAAAAATGTTTGAAACTGGACAATGGAAATAAAAACAAGTGAGGTAGTATCTCAGACAAGCTGTATATCCATGTTACACTGTACTTGGTAGAAGGGTAGAAGTCAGGCACAGGTCCTTGCTCCGTTTTCCTCTGCCAATGAGAACTTGCAATAAGCAGGGCTACTTTCCATCTCCTTCTCTCACTCCATTTCCCCTTCCACACTGCCCCAGGCAACTTACTTGGATCCCGCCTGTAGTCACCAAGAAATTCTTCTAAACTCACAAATCCATCACCATTTTTGTCATGTTCTTCTAAAGCCTCTTGAATGACAAATTCCTATTGTACATTCATTAAAAGAAAAGAAAAATTGTCACAAAAATTTCAACCCCACCATCAATGGAATCAATTCTATCAGAACTTCAGATACAATCATTTTGGCTGCTCATACTTTCAGGAAAATGTTTCTAAACACCGAAATTAGGAAGCAAGAATAACCCTGCCCCAAGTACCAAGTAGTTTTAAATTCAGCATCTTTATACTGCTGATACTGTGAAGAATTCTCCCTCATTCTAACAACCTCAGCACTAAACACAGGCTCCTATGTCCTGTACATTCCCCTTCCTCTCAAGAATGCCACTTGACTACCCCGTCTTTTTCAACTCCACTAGTTCTCCAATCCAGTAACAGCATGGAAAGAACCAATTCCTTTGCACAGAACTATCGTCCTTTCTCTAAGTTGGAAACATGTCAGTCTTCACCTCTACACAACCTTCTTACCATTTCTCCTAAACCTACAACCACCCATTCCAAATTGGTTCCTCACTCATATATCAAGGCTCTTACCAAACCATCAATCCTCCAAATGGCTCCTGGAGCCTGTCTTCCCTTTTACCTACTCTGCTCCTGCCTCTCCTAAGCCCTCAATTATCTTCTTGCAGGTCCCTCAGTCTTCTGTGACATTCTCATACCTAGGAATTGGCTATACTTTAACGACTGTCCTGGCTCCTCCTGCCTAGTTTCCCGTGGCTTGCACCTATGATTCTCATTTCCTCACTATCTGTTGCCTCACACTGCTCAATCTGGCTTTCAGTATCCAAACTGTAATAAAAATATATTCCAGACAGATCCAGGGCTTCATCTACATTTGTAGAAACACCACCAAGATAAACACTGTCTTCTTCAAATCAAATTTTACAAACAAGAGATCTTAACCAACGGATCCAAAGATTAGTTTTGTAGAAAGGAGCAGAAAAATCCCCTAAAATTATAAGCCAATATTTTGCATGATAAGAATATTTTTCTGGGATAGTGCCACAATTTTTTTTAAAATCATATTCCTAAAGGAGTCTGTAATTTAATGAAAGCTCAGAATTACTGATCAAAATTATTATTCTTTCATTCAGGCAACATTACTGGGAAACAGATTCATTTCAATAACGCTGCCATAGTAAAAAGAATTTTTAGAACTGTATGAATGAAATATCTTTCAATGCTAGGTCTAGTGGAGCTACCAACCTGGCAGGCTTGTTCTTTCAGCTACTTGGGAGGCTGAGAAAGGAGAATCACAAATTCAAGGCCTATCCAGGCTACAGAATGAGTTCAAGGTCAGCCTGGGCAACTTATGAGGGACTTCAGGAAATGATGTTGCATATGAGAAAATCGTTGTTCAATCCCCAGTACCACAAATTAAATTCTAACTTTAATCCAAAGTAAAATCACTTAACTGATTTTGTACCCCATGTACCCTTAAAGGGGAAAAGGGGTACATGAAAACAATGGAGATAAGTAGGAATGGACAAAGCTGCTTTGAATGAGACTTCACACTATGATCACACATCTCATGTGTTGCTATCAGCTCCAACACAGCATGAAAGCTCCATCAAGAAGGGCCCCATCTGACATACCCGTCTGTTGAACGTACAGTCTTTGTCATAAGCTTTTTATTTCAGGGTCCTCTCTATCTCTTACTATTTATTTTGTAAATCAACATTCCTGACATTGCTATTATGTTTTCTTCAAAATGTTGCTGAAACATGTACCTTCCCCTGCCAGGACCATAGTAAATAATGCCTATTATTTAATTGCTTTCACTGGGTTTTCCCATCTACAGTCAACTGCTCCCTTTTCCAGAAGATCCAGTATCCTCTGTTTACTTTTCAATTAGCTTGGCCCAACTTAGTTTTGGCATTTAAATTATACCTAGCACTGGTCTTAAACTAGGTCATGTTTTTTGTGCCAAGTAAGATTATTAGAAATTTCACAATGGCAAGGAAAATGGCACTAATGGTCGTACTACCTTGCCACTGAGCTATGGAGAAGGTCTAGCGTCTAGCTGCTTGTTATTCAAGACAGCATGTTTTGGTTATGACTCACTGAAAAAAAAAAAACAACAACAAACAAAAAACAAAAACTACATCTTCCTTCCATAAAGCATCCAGGCAATAAAGCCACAAAGCTGGAGGTTTATGCCACACAATAGATCTCAGCACAAATGTATGGTCTTTAAAAGGTTTTATTACTATGATGGGAAATAAGGGTTTTCAAGAAGCTTGCAAAGAGATGGGGGCTCAAACAGTGTCAGCGAGTTAAACCTAGACCTCAATGATTCCATTTCAAAGAGCTGGTGCACTACTTATTTGTGGTGCTGGTGACTGCACCCTCTACACGCTGCTGAATGGCACTCTCAGGCCAGTGTTTCTTTTAAGTACTAAAGGGATGAGAGGACTCATTATGCCTAAAGTTGCAAAAACAGCCCAGCACTACCATTATCTTGTGAAAACTGATCAAAATATGATTCAACTTTTCTAGACAAAAGTTCTCACAAGTAAAGTTGTAAACTACATAAAAGTTCTAGGAATACTAACATTGAAAACCCAGAGGAAAGCCTAAATCTAAAAGGGATAAGGAAGGCCTTGATGGTAATATGGTTATGACAGAAAGTAGAAGACTGTTGCTCATTTATAGAGAAAAGAAAATCAACAAAAAACCCCTTCACATCTTCCTCAGTAAACCATCTCACCACTACCAGAACCCCTCCTAACACTGCTAATCTCATACAGGGAGAAACTTGGAAACTTCTGAATCTTCTTGTCTCAAAATTCTGTTATACAATTCATTTTAATGACTTAGTAAATAGGCTTTAGTCACTTGGTAATTCTCTTAATTTTTGTTCCTTACCGTCATATAATCAACTTCTTCAGGATGTTCAAAAGCAATAAATTCTTCAAGACTCAAACCAGGACCAGAATCCTGGTTAGCTTTTTCAAATCGCTTCTTGTCCTTTAAATGAAGCTTTGAAAATTAAAAAAATAAATAAACTTTTTTTGTTTTAAACAAATTCAAAGATCTCAGTATCATATCATCATTAAAAATTACTTAAAAAGTACAGTGTGATTTAAAGGACATTCTCCCACATTGTCTCATCTATCTTTACAACACCTTTCTGAAGGGAGGTGGAGCAAAGAGCAAATATCCATTACAGGTAAGGCAGAGAAGGGTCACAGTCAGACCCACACCAAGGTTCCAGCAATGACACTACTGTGATAGTCAGGGGAAATTGCTTAACCTCTTTAGTTTCTTCTGCTAGAAAATCGGGATAAAAATCACTCCTAAGCAACTGGCATGACAACTGCTATCCTGAAATTAGTAAACCTGAAGTATTGAGTGCATTATAAATGTCAGCCAGGGACTGTCACACCCCTGTCATCTCAGAATAGAGCAGAAGGATAATGACTTTGGGGCCAGCCTGTGCTAAATGCCAGGCCCTGTCTCAAAAAACAATAAATAAATGAACAACTAGGTTGTTGATGAAATACCTGAAATTGTATGATTTGATGAAAGCCAGAAATATTTAATAATTCATCCCAGCAATTTTGGAATGCCTCCAAAACAATAAATTTAAGACAATAAGTTTTGGTAGGGTTTTAAAAAATTACTTCTAGTCCTCTAAATTATTTTTTCAAAAATCTGTTAACATGTATCAGAAAAAGGGACCCCCTTTTTAAAATCTTTTTAAAAAATTATTAAGAATTTCATACATGCATATAAGGTGTTTTGATCAAATCCACACCCACTCCCTCCCTCCCCTCCAACTCCTCCCATATCTCCCCACCACTTCCCACCCCCCTCAACAACTTCATGTTCTCTTGCTTTTTTTTTTTTTTTTTTTAAATGGGGCTTTTCGCTACTCTACCATTTCCTGCTCCCCAAACAGGTAACCCTAAAGTCATTTAGGGATTAGATAAAAAGCTCACAAATACTTTTGACATTTTTGGCCTTTGGAATGGAGTATGTTGCTAAGAGGCCCAAGGACATTTTGACTTTTAGCCAAGAAACTGGCTACTTTTCTTTGGGGTCTTTTTACCCTAATTCCCTACTCAATTCCTACCTCCTATTCTTATCACATCATCTTCTGAAGAGGTTACCCAAATTGCTGATGGGGAATCAGGATGCAGATCAAGGCAATTGGGGTACACAAAAGGGTCCCTTTATATTGAGAACCTCATACTATTAAGTATAGGTACCCAACAGCTTGCTCTTAGTAGGCTCTTTATGTTGCCAATAATGTATGTTCAGAAAAAAATACTTCAAAGGTCTAATTGGGTCCCATTTTGGAGGCTAAATAAACATACTTTTTGTTTTCCTCCTTAAAGTATGTTCAAGTAGAGAAATGGTTCAGCACTGGCTATCAGAACATGGCAGCTTTTGATGGCAATTCTGTAACCAATAACTATGAATGTCAATGGTGCTATACAGCTAATCCTGCATGCTTCTATTTTAGTATTTCTGAGATTAGCCTTCTGTTCAAAAAACTTACATGTAGTAAAGTTATTTGTTTATTTATTTATTGAGATGGTATTTATTAATTCATCAATTAATTATTTATTAATTTATTTATTGAGACAGGGTCTTCCTGTAGCTCTAGCTAGCCTGGAATTCACTACATAGACCAGGCTGGCTTTGAACTCAAGAGAGATCCACCTGATTCTGCCTCCCAAGTGCTGCGATTAAAGGCGTGCGCCACCACATCCAGCAAACTGTATTTTTTTAAGAAAAATATTTTATTTATTATTTTATGTATGAGTATTGCTTGCATGTTAACTAGGTGTACCGTGTCATGCAATGCCCTTGGAGGCCAGAAGAGGGCACCGGATCCCCTGGAACTGGAGTCATAGAAAGTTCTTAGCTACCATGTGGATGCTGGGAACAGAACCTGGGTGCTCTGCAAGAGCAGTGAGTGCTCTTAACCCGAGCCCTCTCCAACCCCATAAACTGTATTTTTTAAAGCGTAATTTCAAATGTTTAGGAAGTTTAATTTATGTGTTTCACCAATGAAAAGAAATTCTGTTTTCTAGAATAATAGGTAGGTAGCAATCGTTTAAATAGTAGGTATTTTACTGACACCTGAAGAATTTGTTTTTAAGCATCTAGACTATACAACCCAGTCATGTTCTCTCAATTATAAAAGAAAAAAAATTGTTCCCAAGTAGCTGCTTTTGTGTTTTATAATTTTAAATATTTTAAACCAAACAATTTACATTTTATGTTTAGGTTTACCATGGAGAGAAATAGGCAAGAATTTTAGGTACTGTGTAGAGTTAAATTCTTTTTAAATACACAACTGTTCAAAATACCAAATATTTAGATTTCCTTATGAAAGAACCCTTCAATTTGGAACAAAAAAGTTTGTTTCAATAAAGTAAGCTAAATTTGGCCAAATTTCCCTATGGAAAGAATGATCAAGAAGATGAAAGGGAGGGAGGAGGAAAACATGGGAAGGAGAAAGGTAGGGAGAGAATTTTATGGTCATTTGAATGCAATTATTTAACAGTGCATATTGCTGGGCATGATGGCACACACCTATAATCCCAGCATACAGGAGGCTGAAGCAGGAGGATCACGAATTTGAAGACAGCCTGGGCTACATAAGCAAGATCATGTCTCTTTCTGGAAAAGAATGCCTTACATTGAATTACAGAAGCTAATATACATTGCTTTGAGTGGTAAGTTTAAAAAAGAAATAACAAAAGTCGGTTTCACAAAAATTCAACACTCTTTTTATAAAATCCTTCTGTTCTACTAGAGGACACTAATAATACAATATGAAAGAAACCACAGTAACTTATTTCTACACAGAAACTTGTGAAGAACAAAAATGCCATCTTTTGGTAGAAAAATGATTTTCTGTGAAGGAATAAATAACCTACTATCCTAGAATGAAAGCCTCAGTCCTAACAAGTGTTACCCGTCATATGCAAGGATTATATCTTAAATATGTTGCTTATATATTCACATTCAGCAGCTGATTTTAAAAGTTAGAATACTGAACAGTTGGGGCTGGAGAGATGGGTCAGTGGTTAAGAGCAATGGCTGCTCCTGCAGAGGACCTGGGTTTGGTTTCCAACAGCTAACAACTGTCTATATCTCCAGTTCCAGGGGATTCAATGCCCTCTTCTAAGCCTCTGTGGGCACTGCACAACATGAGTCCACTTACATATATGCAAACACTCATACACATAAAATTAATATATTTTTTAAAATTAAAGAATACTGAACTTTGCCAGGTAGCTCCCCAAACTTGAATTACTCTGCTTAAAAGTGCTAACTCAAGTGCTCATATTACACAGAAAAACTTTCAGACATTTCAAAGCCTGAAAGTCATTACTCCAAGTTGTCTATATTCTTTACATGGAAACTTACTAAAAATAGAATCCAGATACCAAGTGGATCTTTACTTTTTTACTAGAAGTCCATATAGAGAATTTTCTTTTATTCGGATATCTAATTATGACCTATGGTTACTTTATAATAGTCTAACGTTTAGTCTGTAACTGTGAGACTGATTCATTCTTCATTCTTCATGTTTTATTTTGAAGAATAATACCTACTGTGTCTGGGTTCATATTTACACTCCACACCAATTTTTACAAGGCTTTTTATTGTCAAATTCTAAAATAAGTATAATTAGAAGTTCAAGAAAGAGAAGATATACTCCTCAGCTGTGAAATAATAACCAATAGGATTTCTCTTGGTTTAAGTGTTCATTTGAGGACACTAAGAGCCATCTAATTCATTCTTTTTAAAACTTATTTATTTTGTTTTCTTGTTTGCTTTTAGAGACAGGGTCTCTCTGTAGTCCCAGCTTTCCTGGAACTCACTATATAGACCAGGCTGGCCTCGATCTCATAGAGATCTGCCTGCCTCTGCCTCCTGAGTGCTGGGATTAGAGGTGCACCACTGTGCCTGGCTATTTATTATGTATACGTGTGTGTTTGTGTGAATTTATGTATGCCACATGCTGCAAGAGTCCTCAGAGGGCAGAAGTGGGAGTTGGATCTCCTACAACTGGAGTTACAGATGGTTGTGAGCCACCATGTTGGTACTGGGAACAGAACTCAGGTCCTTTACAAGAACTGTAGAGTCTTATAACCAACATGTGCTAAATACTCATAGGGAATATAGCACTAGAATAAGACATTATTTTCTATTAATGAATAATCTATCTCTTCAAAAGAAAGATTCTAATGTCAACATCATTGTGTATTACAAAACTTCTTCCTGAGACTACAAAAACACATAATTTTAAAAAATTTATTTTTATTTTTATGTGTATGAATGTTTTGCCTGCATAAATGTAAGCACATATGCATGCAATGCCTGTAGAAGACAGAATAGGGCATCGAATGCCCAGGAACTGATTGGAGTTACAGATGGTTGTTAGCTGCCATGTTAGCACTGGGACTCAAACTTGGGTCCTCTGCAAAAGCAGCCAGTGCTTTAACCACTGAGTCATCTCTCCAGCACCCATACATTTTTTTTAATAAAAAAATTTTAATTTTATGTGTATAAATGCTTTGTGATGTGTGCGATACCCACAGATGCCAGAAGACACATCAGGCACCCTGGAACGGGAGTCATTGCTGTTAGTCGCTATGTGGGTGCTGAGAACCAAACCCACGTCTTCTGAAAGAGCAACTAATTCTCCTTCAGAGCCATCTCCTCCCCACCCCCAAAAAATACACATTTGTGTGTGTGTGTGTGTGTGTGTGTGTGCATGTGCTCATGCATGTGAACACACATGTTTTTTTTGATGGAACGATGGAGGGGTAAAAAAGACAGAAGAGGGGAGGGAGCAAGCAAGCAAGCAGGCTTAAGTAAGCTTTAAAAATAACGTATTTAATTTTTTATTGTTCCTTCGTTTTTAGAAAAGTTCTAGAATTCTAAAGATGCTGAAGAGAACACTTATTAGACAGATGAATCCCAAATCTCATCACCATTTCTTTTCTCTTTAGCACTAGCCAGGATGAAAACACTGATGTATACTCTCTTTAGTCTGCTGGAAAATAAAGATTCAAATAAGGAAAAACAAAAAATACATTTTCATTCTATGAATTAAAAACTAACTAATCTAAGCCGGGCGTGGTGGTGCACGCCTTTAATCCCAGCACTCGGGAGGCAGAGGCAGGTGGATCTCTGTGAGTTCAAGGCCAGCCTGGTCTACACAGTGAGTTCCAGGACAGCTGGGGCTACAGGGAGACCCTGTCTCAAAAAGACCAAAAAAAAAACCCAACTAACTAATCTAAAGCTGTTATAGTTTTAAAATGTCTAAACTTTTTTTTGGTGCAGTGGGGGTGGGGTTTGAGACATGATCTCTCTGTAGCCCCAGCTGTCTTGGAAATTGTTATTTTTTTTTTTAAATTTATTATTTTTTTAAAAAATTTTATGTGTACGTGTGTATTGTCTGCATGTAGTAAGTGCACCCGTGTCATGCAATGCCCGCGGAGGTCAGAAGAGGCTGTCGGATCTCCTGGGACTGGAGGTATGGACAGTTGTTAGCTGCCATGTGGGTGGTGGGATTCAAACCCAGGTCTTCTGCAAGAACAACCAGTGTTCTTAACCGCTAAGCCATCTCTCCAGCCCCCTCGGAACTTGTTATGTAGACTAGGCTGGCCTTGATCTCACAAAGATCTGCCTGCCTCTGCCTCCAGAGTTTAAAGAGGGTCTAAAGGCGTGTACAAACATGCTCAGCTAAATGTTAATTTTTAAAAAATTTAAATGGAAATTGTACATGTTTCTTCGGTTTGAGACAGGGTTTTTTACTTAAAATTTTTACAATTATTTTGGGGGCACAGGGGTGCTTAGCACCTGTGTGGAAATCAGAGGACAACTTGTGAAAGTTGTCACTCTATCCAATGTGTGCATCCTAGGGATCAAATTCAGATCACCAGGATTGGCAGCAAGCACCATCATCCACTAAGCCATCCCACTGGCCCAAGACTTGTCCTGTCTCAAACTTGAGATCCTCTTGCTTCTTCCTCCCAAGAGTGTGCTTCTTTTACAATATTCTTTCAAATGGAACTGACTACTCAAACTATTCCAACTGCTAGTAGATAGTGTTTCTCATACTATTATTATCCTCAACTTAAAGGGAAATTATTCCCATTTTTAGAGATGAGGAAACTGAGGCACAAGGAGATTTAGTAACTTATACAAACTGTTAAGTGGGAGAGCTGGATGTAAAGCCAAGGCAGACTGGCTTGGAGGCTGGAGCCCTTAAACTGCACATTGGTGGCATGTGGACAATGTAAGCATGATCATTAGCTAGTAAATAGCCATGTTGAAGATAGTGGTGACTAAAGACTACACATGGGCAATACAATTCTAAACTAGACAGCATGTACAATGATAAATGATGACCATTATAAAAATTAAAAGATTACAACAAATGAAGATAGGAAGGCTCAAACAATTTCTAGGTACCTTAATTGATATTTTAGGACATACACTTTGCAACAAGATATATATTTTTATTCTTTTAAAAAATATTTTATTCTTTTTATTTTATGTGTATGAGTGTATTGCCTGCATGTATGTAAGTGCACCTGTGTCGTGCAATGCCTGCGGAGGTCAGAAGAGGGCATCAGATCCCCTGGAACTGGAGTTAGAGACAGTTGTTAGCTGCCATGTGAGTGCTGGGAATCGAACCCAGGTCCTCCGGAAGAGCAGACAGTGCTCTTAACTGCTGAGTCATCTCTCCAGCCCCTATTTTTATTCTTTTCTATATATTTTTAAAATATTTTATTATTTTTTTTTTAAATTTTATGTGTATGCGTGTATTGCTTTCATGTAGGTAAGTGTACCCATGTTGTGTAATGCTCACGGACAGAAGAGGCTGTTGGATCCCCTGGAACTGGAGTTATGGATAGTTGTTAGCTGCCATGTGGGTGCTGGGATTTGAACCTGAGTCTTCTGCAAGAACAGTCAGTGTTCTTAACCACTGAGCCATCTCTCCAGCCCTTCTTTTCTATATTTAAAAAAAATTCTTTCAAATTAGCCTTAAAATATGAATTTCAAGCTTATAATTATTTGTATTGATATACTTTAGTAACAGACTTCCTACAAGCCTCTAAAAATTCTTATTAAAACCTAAAAATTGTTTTCCTCACTTCAGTTTAAGTACCCTATTTGCTTTAATAAATTAATAAATGAAAGTTTAACATTCAACAGAACACATATACACAGAATCTTAATCTTACTATTGTAAATAATGTAGCATTATGGAAAGCCACACTGTAGTTCCTTAACAAAATTAAAGAGAATTGATTCAATAATCTCATTTCTGTAAATAAACTCAAAAGACTCAAAAGTAAGAACTAAAACAGAGACTTATACAACACACTCATTACAAGTTTTTTCATAGTAATTACAAAAACAAAAAGGGGAAATGTGAAGTTGGGACGGAGTTAGGGTAGGAGGCACTAGGGGAAGTTGGAAGGTGGTAACGGGGGATGGATCTGATCAAAATATATTGTATAAATGTAAAAATTAAAAGAATTTAAAAAATATATAACCCAAGTGGATAAACAAAATATGGCAGACAGATACAGAGACACAAACACAAACACACACACACACACACACACACGCACACACACAAACTAGACTATTTGGTCTTTTTAGAATGTATCCTTTCTGGGCAGAAAATTTTGGCATATGCTATATCATGGATAACTTTAAGGACATTATGTTAAGTGAACTATGCCAGTCATAAAGAAAAACAAAAACAAAACAAAACAAAAAACATTGTATGTTTCTCCTTAAATGAGGTTCCTGGAATACACCAATTCATAGAAGGTAGAATGATGGTGATGGAAATGAGTTACTATCTGTGTATAATGAGAACAGAGTTCAGTTTTGCAAGATGAATATAATTTGAGCAATTAACTGCACAAGTTAAATGTACTTAACACTACTGAATACTCTTAAAAATCATTAAAGGGGCTGGAGAGACAGCTCAACAGTTAAGAGCCCTGGCTGCTCTTACAGAGGACCTGGGTTCAAGTCCCAGCACCCATAAGGAGGCTGGCAACAATCTGTAACTCTAATTCCAGGGGAATCCAACACCCTTTTTCTGACCTCTGTGGGCACTGCACAACACAGGTGCATGTACACCTAAAATAAAAATAATAAAATATTTAAAAAATTAATTAAAATGGGGCCAGGATATACCTCAGCACAGTGCTTGCCTACTATGCATAAGTCCTGGGTTCAATCCACAATAACATACAAGAAGTTTGTGAGAGATACAGGGGCTGGGGAGATGGCTCAGTGGGTCAAGTACTTGCTGTGCAAGTGTGAGGACCTGAGTTTGGATCACCAGAACCCACGTGAAGCAGGACATGGTAGCATGGCTGTCTGAATTCCAGGGCTCCTATAGCAAGATGAGAGGTGGAGACAAAAGAACCCTAGAAAGCTGGCAGCCAGCTAGCCTAGAATATGCAGCAGCAAACAAGAGACTGTCTTAAGTAAGGTGGAAGGCAAGGACCGACACCCAAGGTTGTTCTCTGACCTCCAAATATGCCCTCATTAAACACATACACAGACACACACATACACAGACACATACACACACACAAATAATGGGAAATGTTATATTTATTTTACTATAATTAAAATTTTATATAGTTTTCAAAGATGAGAACAGCCCTCTTTAGTGTGATATAAAAACTGATTGTTAAATGATGTTAAAAATAAAATACTGAGATGTGTTATTATCAGCAAGCCTCACTTAAAAAGCAGCTCTGGAAATGAAGACAAATTAGTGCAGTGCCTAAGGAAAACGGAAAGAAGGATAATTCAAGCCCTGTGTTAAGAGTCCTAAATCTGGCTAAACGGAAACCATCAAAATGACCACTGAAGTGGAACTGGTGATTGCCCAGTGAACAAGGCAATCCAGGCTAGGACCTCAGGCCCTTCTGTGCTTACTCAGGCAGGATAAAGAGAACTGATGTGATCAAAAGAGCAGCTTGTACTCACCTGCCTAAAAGACTCCTCTTCTGCATCATCCAGAGCAGTGTTCTCATCAAAGTCAATCACACGGTCATACATCTGGATATTGTATTCATCCCACGTCACAGTACCATCACTGTTTTTATCATATTCGACAAACTGCTGTTTTGCCTCTTGCATAGCATAATGCTTAAAAGACATCTGAATCCACTGACTGAGTTCACCTAGAATTTCCCAGAACACAATGAAATGTTTACAAGAATTTTGATCTTAAGATTTATAAACTTCTTCAAAAAGTTAACTTCAATGTTTGCAAAAATTGAAAACTGGCCTAATAGTATCGCTAGAAATAAGGATGGGGGGGTTATGCAGAGTCCAAAAACGTCGTAATACATGATTTAAATAGAATGAAAGCTTCACGAGTACAATCTGAATCTGTGGGATTTCTGTTTTGTTTTGCTCCCTTTCAGTGATGTACACTAAATGCCTGGCCCCATAAGTACTTCTTAAATAAACTGTCACGTAACCAAAACAGAATTTCACTTTTAAAAACCCTCAAAAATTTGAAGATAACCTTTGCTAACAATTATAGATTTCTTAAGAAGCAAAGCTATTTGAATGGCTACCTATTTATCTTAATATCTATTAGAATTTTTTTTTCATTAATGAAAGGAATACGTTTTCCTTTAAATTGAATTGAATCAAGACACACACACATATATACACATATGCTCTAGACACACACACACACACACACACACACGAGTTTTGTTTTGGGAGGGGTTTTGAGATAAGGTCTCATTTCACTATGCAGCCCAGGCTGAGAGTCAAACTCATGACCCTTCTGTCTCTGCCTTCCAAGTGTTGGGACTGATTACAGGTCTGAGCCATTACACCCTTATCAAGATATGTTAAGGAAATAACAGGCAGTAATTAGACATGGCCTAAATTACAAATAGGTATTCAAGTGACTGAAATCAGAGAAATACTTTTATGGTATATTTCTTTTAAACTTCCTAAGTCATGTGGAAGAAATTCTAACAAAGTAGCAATTATGATTCTTTTTTTTTTTTTTCTTCAGACAGGGTTCGGTCTCACTACATAGACCAGGCTTGGACTTTAACTCAGTGATTCAGGATTCACCTACCTCTGCCCCTTGAATGCTGGGATTAAAAAAGGCTAATGTCACTATGGCTGGCAGCAATTATGATTTGTGCCTTTCTTGCAATAGCTATTTGTCTTACCTTGGTATCTGAAGGCATGAGGAAAAGTCATAAATCTCAAATGCCCATTTTCAGATCAATTTAAAAACTTCTACGAGGTAATTACTTACTAAACTGAATGAATTACAGAAAATAGGCAGGGAGGATGCAACAAACATTTGCAAGAACATGAGTATACAGCAAGCACTTGGTTTAAAGGTATTAAAGACTGGTATTTCTCTACTGGTTTGGGAGAACGTAGGTACAAAGAAATGCAGAGATGCATTCTCCTCCTGAAACCTTAATTATTATGCAACCATACATTGAATAACTGTTGTACCAGGTCCTGCATCTTTAGTTTAAAAACAAGGCATCATAATCATCATTATTCCACGTTCAGACATAATGAAACACATTCTGAAAGGCCCAAGGTTTCAAAGCTAAGAGCCCAGATTCAAACCTATTTTTAGCTTCAAAACCTAAACTACTATGGACTTTTGTTACCCCTTAAGAGCCTCTATATTTTGGGATGGAGAGAGGGCTCAGTGGTTAACAACCATCCGTAACTCCAGTTCCAGAGGAACCTAATGCCCTCTTCTGACTCCTCAGGCACTGCACAACACGGGTGCACAAACATATATATGCACTAGACTTGTATACATAAAAATAATAAATTTTAAAAAAAAGAATGATGGGGCCTCTCCATATTGCCCAGGCTGGTCTCAACTCCTTGACTCAAGCTATCCTCTTGTCTCAGGACCTCCCAAGTAGTTGGGATGACAGAAAGTAGTTTGGGCCTAGTTTGAGACTCTCTACTTCTTAAGAACCCAAATCCAGTCCTTGCTCTCAAAACAAAAATTAGTGAAGTTCTCTCAAGGGTCCCCAAGTAGATTATATGCTTCCTTAAGCACCCTGAGTCTTGTTTCTATTATAAAGAATTTAGTATGACATATCAGAAAAACAGAATGGAGCAGGGATCAGAAAAATGAGCTTGCATTTCAGCTTTCCCTGTTCAGCATCTCAAGCCTTTGTTTTCTCATCTGTAAAATGAAGATCTGGAATATTTAAACATGTCTAGGTTCTGACAAGTACTATAGTCTTCCAAATCAACTCCATGGTCTACTTTAGTGAAACCAAAAGCAGACCCATCAGTATACTGGCTGAGGGTTCAGAGGTTTCAGCATCGTTTAAGTAGCAGGAACAGAACCTGAGGGCATAAATGTGAATATGTTATTGATAGTATACCTCAAACTCACAGGTTTGCAGCTCCCCCTCTACTAAATTCATTTTTTGGATGCTGAGCAACATTTAAATGAGAGTTACAGTCAAATAGCTTAGTCATTGTAACAAACTTCTGAATTTTTAAAAGATCTAGAATGCTGATAGGATTCACGTGAATTAAATGATGAGAAGGGGACTACTGGTAGGAATTCATTTAGAACATTTTTTATTACTTTATTTTACATGTAAGAGTGTATTAACTGCATGTATGTGAGTGCACTATGTCATGCAATGCAGCAGAGGTCAGAAGAGGGCATCAGATTCCCCTGTAAGTGGAGTTAAGGACAGTTCATAGCCACCATGTGGGTGCTGGGACTTGAACCCCAGTCCTCTCCCAGAGCAGTAAGTATTCTTAACCGCTGAGCCATCTCTCTAGCCCAAGAACACTCTTTAATGGTCTATTCATTCCATTTCTGAGACAATTTTTTGAACTGAAGACATTAAAAACTGAATTAAACTAATTAGCTGACTGGATTTTAGTCCTGACTTTGCCATTTTTGTAAAGAAAAAAAAAAGGCGGACATCACTGCCAGCATCTCTCTTAAGAGACCAAGATTAGGCCCCTACCAGTTCCATCATTTTATGTTGCAATAAATGGAATTCACATGCAACAGGTTTTTTTTTTCTATTTGCTTACAACAAGCAGATTCTTAAAATTTTACAGATCAAAGAAGCACTGTATCATGTACTGTCTTTAAGGTTTTCAGCAAATGTTTCCAAAATGAATCATACTCTCGACAATGACAAAAGTGATGTAAGGAAGAGGTATGACTTGCACTTCCACTATCATCAGTGTTGTTTACATATGGTTGGAGAAAGCATTGAATTTTACCTGGTACCACACCTTCGAGTATAAGACCTACTTTTCATTATCACAGTACTTCTAGTTTGTGGAACAACTAGCAATCTACATAAATGTTCGTCTATCTCCTACAAAGCACTTTCTCCATTGTTGGTGGTGCAAGGCAGTCCTTACTTTCAGTGAGAAAGCCATCTGAGTCCGCATCAATTTTCTTTATGATCGACTGCAGGCGCCTTTGCTGCTCTTCGTGGCCAAGTTTAACGTATTCATCGACGTCTTCCTTCGGGGAGGGAAGGATATGCAGGAGGACCAAGCATTACAATCAGGGAAACATAATGGTGGAGGAAAACAGGGCTAACCCCCTTTGCCAAAGGGCTATCTGATGACCCACCCTTTCCAACAAGCCCCCAACCACCCGCGGTGATCTCGGGCCTTATTCCAGGCGCGGAAAGGATCCAGCTCCTGGGCCTGGACTCCTCGGGCTTTCCAGGCCTCGGGGACCCCAGAGAGCAAACGGAGCCGCGCCGGGCCCCCATTATCAGGCCACCCCCACCAGGCCTCACCCGGTCGCCCCTCTTTGTCCCGGCCTGGCATCCTCACCTGAACGCCCAGCAGCGCCTCGCGATCGTAGTCCGCCCGGTGTTCGCCCTGCGGGTAGTGCAGCTCCTCGGCCTCGCTGGCGCCGACCACCGCAGCGTACAGCAGCATCAGCCCCAGCGCCGTGGGCCTCGAGCCCAGACGCATCACGCCGATCCGCCGAGGACGCTGGAAGCCGGGAGGAGGGAGGCAGGCGGGGCCCCGGCCAGGCGGCAGCGCTTTACAACCGGCCACAGAGGGGCGGCGCCGCATGTGGGGGTGGGGGGGGGCACCGGGCACGGCGGGAGCCGACGGCCTAGCTTTCACACACAGCGTGCGAGGTCTGCGGGCTACAGAGCTCCGGAGCCGAGGCAGGCCCTGCCTTATATGGCCGCGGCAGGGGGCGGAGCGCCAAGCGGGTCTCTGATTGGGCTGTGCGTCTCCGGGGCCGGGCCTCCGTCTACCGCCTACTACGGGCGCCAGCAGGCCAGCTCCCGGCCGCGAGATCCCCGCGGGCTCTTTCCCCTTTGCTGCCAGGCCCTGCGAAAAACAGTCCCCGCTCCACCTCCACCCTGCCTTTCTCTTCCAGCCTCGCTCCTGGCAGAAGTCCCCTGTCCAGTCCTTGTGTCGTTCCTGACTTGCATCAGAGAGAAAGCCAGGAGATTTTGATGAAAAACAATACAATATTGTATCTTGAAAAATCTTTGAGCAACCGACCAGCAGTGTCCATTTCCCAAACTTCAGTGTCCTAGTTATTTCGCCATAGCATGAATTGCAGTCAGATGCTTGTGTCCGATCCTGAATTTAGCGACTTAAAATAATATGACTGGATAAATTTCTTGACCCCTTAAAAACCTATTTGCTCATTTATAAAATAGGCATAGTTTTTAAAAGACTTTTAAAGAGTTGTGGCAATCGAATTAAATAATATAATGCCTTTAGAACAGTAACTAGTTGTTACTGTTGTGAAGTGCTCAATAAATCTATGTGTTCATCCATACTGGAAGAAAAGTAAAGGACAGTTGTGCAGAAAAAAATAGCTTACCGAATAGCTTTGTGGGTAAATACATGGACTCGTGCTTTCTATCCCATGCCTACTTCAGGTCTATGGAATTTCTCCACCTTAGCTTGTGCACAGTAAGCCCAGAGCAATTTGTAGCTTGTAGCTTGAACTGTTTTGTTTACTATTGTTCCTCTTTGAATCAAGTCTTTTCTGAACTAGAAGAAAAGGCTTTTGGGGTCTTTCACTTCTCACAGGCTCTGGATTGAAAGCAAGAATCCCGTTCCAAACTGCAAAACTGAGTGGACACAAATTACACAAAGTTCTTGGGTCAGATTGGAATTTTATATTTGGTCAGAGACCATTCAAAGTTTTTCAAAGTAAAAATAAAGATCAGTATAGAATAGAGGTTTTTTTAACTTTAAATTTTTTTTAAATTTTATTTTTATTTTATGTGTATACGTGTATTGACTGCATGTAGGTAAGTGCAACATGTCGTGCAAGGCCTGTGGAGGTCAGAAGAGGCTGTCACATCCCCTGGGACTGGAGTTACAGACAGTTGTTAGCTGCCTTGTGGGTGCTGGGATTCGAACCCAGGTCTTCTGCAAGAACAGTGTTCTTAACTGCTGAGCCATCTCTCCAGACCCTAGAGTAAAGTGTTAAATATTAGTGTAAATATAGGCAATATTTTAGAGTCAATTTCATTTAAAAAAGAAACTAATGGGAATGTGAAACTTTAATCACTGGATCATTTTAATTTTCATTTCAGTTCTGGGTTTTGAGGTAATTCTATGAAGAATAAGACAATCTCATTTAATGTAAAGTACTCAACTTTGGGCCAATTATTCTCAAGTAAGGGGAATTTGATGAGCTTCTGATATGATTCCAATTACAATGGGTAGGATACAAAGTATTAGGGAAGTTTTTTTTGTTTTAACTCCAGGGCTCCACAGATGGAGATTTTGGGGCAAAGGGAAACTAATGGCCTTTAAAGGGACTTTGAGGTAAATGGTATAAATGAACATTAGAAGGCCTGGGTTCTGTCTTCCTTCAGCTATTTTCTGGCCAATGAGCTATTTTTTCCAAATGCAGGAAAAGGACTAAACTAACTGAGCAGATCTTATTTTGAGGTCTTTGGGCACCTAAATGGCTCTCTACACAGGATTTGGTAGTGTTAGTCCTCAAATTCTATGCAGGAATTTATGCTTGTGTACATTTCTGGGTACAAGCTCTATGATTCTGCTTTCATCAGTGTTTCCAAAGGGTGCAGGTGACAGAAAAAGTTAAGGACTCTGGAAGAAATCTAACTCTTTACTTCTTAAATCTGTAAATCCATTGTTTTATTGAGGATTGTTTGGAAACTGACTACAGTAAAGATGTTCATTCTAGAAAGGCCAGACCAATCCATTGTCATTTATATGTAATTAATTAGTTATATTCAGAAAAAAATATTTTTAAAATAAGTAGCCTGTGAAAAAAGCATCACAGATACCAATTTTCAAATTTGTTTTTATTTACATTTTTATTGGGATAGAATGCGTAAATTTTAAAGTGTGCAACTCTTAAGTTTGCAATCAATGAGGTGGGAGCGATATCTTATTCTGTAGCCTAGTCTGGCCTCAAATTCATGACAAGTCTCCTGTCTCAGCTTCCCAAGTGCTAGGATTACAGTTATAAAACCATTCTGGAAATTCAATGATTTTTTTGATATATATGTCTGTGAAATCTGCCCAACACATTAAGTCTCTCTCTTCCCCAACTATCTACAACTAGGCACAGTGGTATCTGTGTCTGTAGTCTCAGTTATTCAGAGGCTGAGGCAGGAGAATCACCTGAACTCTCAAGTTCAAGACCAACCTGGGAAACACAAAGATTCCATCTGGCAGAGGGAGGATGGGAGGGATGGAGTATGTACAATTCTGGCCTGTTTTATCATGAATACATGGTTCCTGTTCTTGAACTTTATACAGATGGCATCATACAACAGTTAAAGCTATGAGTAATGTGTTTTGCCTTGGTAGGAAGCAGTGTGATACCATAGAAAGATCACAGACAACTTTGAAATCAAACACGGGAAGTTTGAACCTTCATCCTGTAGCTCACCTACTATATAACCTTTTTATTTTATTTATTTATTTTTTGAGGCCTGTGAAACCTGCCCAGCACATAAATAAATGACTTAAACTCTATAAAAATGGAATAATAAAAACCCATCTGGCAAGTTCGGTGTGAAGAATATATCTACTACTCTGTGAGGTATCTGACCCACAGAAGGAGGTTCAACTTTCCTTTTGACTCTAGGAAATTTCTACTCTATCTTCCAGACCCCTAAGTGTTTCCTAAAGGAGTCCTTCAACTTCCTGGAACATAAACCTGTTCACCTCTAAGGTCTCTTTGTTCTGTTTTGTGTTTTATATGTTTCTCTGATTTGGCATTTAGCATGGTTTATTGTGGCTGGTGGCAATGCTACAAAATGGTGGGAGGCTTGAGGTTAGGAACTGTGTGATTTCTCCTAGTGGCCTTGCTAATAAGAGAAGTTCAATAAATTTTGTGAAATGAAAGAATTTAGCTATACTTTTAGAAATATGTACCATAGGTACTAGAGTTAGCTTTGAAACTACACAGAAAAGAAATTTGTAGATTCCTCACTTTTTTAGTTTAGTAGTTGTGTTTTACAAGGAACTGTGGTTTTTTAAAACAAAGCAATACTTACCTAATATATGTGGCATGTACACTTGTGTTTACAGGCCCTTCCACCAGAATGAAAGAGATTTGGCACAATAAACAACTTAAGTGGAAAAGCCAACAAACACAATGGGTTTACAACTCTGCACAGATGGAATACACAAAGAACAAAGGAACAGAGGTAGGGTAGTGAAGGGGCAAACAACTTAGACTGAATGATCACACAATTAGGGGAATTTTGTTGGTTAGTCTTTTGTTAGTCTTTTTAGAGATGTGAGGATTCCAGGATTGTGGTGGAGTCTTAAAGGATGATAGAAAATATATAGATAGTAGGTATATTATGATGCCTAGAAAATATTTTCATCACTAAGGAGAATCCTAAAGGGTATATAAGTACTCGTAAAAAAATCTCAGTAACTCATTAAAAATACTTCTAAGAAATGCAAAGTGATTGCTTTGCACGGAATGAGATTTCCCTAAATTAAACACAGATCTGTCCCAATAAGCAAATGTAATGATAGCTTCCTCCCCTATTTCCGGCAATTCACGTTTATGGCCCTCTACCACTTTCACTAGTCCATCTCTGGCCCCAAAGTCAGTTTAAGTAGGTAGATATTAGAGCATCTTTCCTGACTTGCTCCCTGTATCCATAAGGTGTCCACACATCCCAGCTGATACAATTACTAACCATGCTTCTTACACCCTCAAAAATCACCCAGAAGGAGGTGATAAAGTATTTGGTAATCTTAACACTCAGGCTCACACTCAAGCTGTCCAGCCCCCACCCTAGGTCCTTCCAAGCCCCTGTGTTTTATTGTTCCAGAACCTTTCCCACAGCTTTGCTTCAGCTTTTCAACCATAGGTCCTTGGAGTTTTAGTCAAAATTTATTAGCAGTAAAAATTAACATAGAGAAGGAGGGGCAAAACTTTACTAAAGATAGCAATAAGGGCAGGCTTAGGCAAGAATTTCATATGAATTTTAACAAAATTGATTAACTTTTGGCATTACTGAGCCAGCTCTGAAGACAGCCACATGGGAGGAAATCCTGAGCTGATAAAATAAACTAAAGTAACTTTGAAGGACAGTGCTCTCTGGATTTGTTAGTTCTGGAATGTATATAAGAAGAAAAGTCAGGCATCACTTCATGGTCAGACCATGCACTTAAGCCTTATGTGATTGTGAGTCTGACTGACAGAGAAAATGCAGTTGTTCTGTGTCCCCATCATAGGAGTGACTGGGTCTTCAGTTTTTCAGGATTCAGAATCAAACTCAGGTCTTTTGAGGTTGGTTTCTGTTCAAAAATAATAATAGGGACTGGGGTGATGGCTCAGTGAGTGAAGTGCTTGCTGCACCAAGCATGAAGACCTAAGTTCAGATCCTCAGACTCATAAATGCCAGATATGGCAGCATACATCTATCTGTAAACCCAGCACTGTGGAGGCAGAGACTGGTGGATCCCAGGGGCCTGTAGGGCAGCCAGTCTAGCTGAAATGGTTATGCTCCAGGTTCATGAGAGATGCTGTCTTAAAAAATAAGGCAGAGAAGCAATTGAGGAAGACATCCCAACATCAGCTTCTGTCCTCCACATGTGCCCATAGAGGCAAACACACACACGTGTGCACACATATATCCAATACACAAACAACCCCCCCAAATAAAAAGCACGTGACAATGTAGTACA